CTTGAGGATCCGTACCTCCGGGAATAAAGATCGTTATCAGGATCTTTTTACATATTTTGTTTGATATGATTCTGTTGATTTCTGCCTGACCTTGTGGGTGATCGGACAGACTTTGTTGCTCCGTATCTCCTGATAACGAGCCCTTAGTATCACATGATACTTGATTTTTGTTGTTGTCGTTTGTTGTTTCGGCTGATTCCTGTCTGACCTTGTGGGTGTTCAGGCAGTCTTCGTGAATAGTCCCTTCCTTGACTTTTTCAGCCTTCTTATTAATCTATTTCTTAATTCTTTTGTACACAAGTACTCTTACTAGGTATCCGTCAGCATTTGCTTTGGTTTACAGTTAACATCCATTTGGGTTGGATGTTAACAATTTAACGTAATTTAGGGACTTAGATGTTTTTATGCTGAACCCCTAATAACAGTACTTCTGGAGTTGGGACGCCAACTTAGGGAAGACATTTTTATATTTCGTGGTAAGTTTTATCTGGTAATTTCTCGTGCATCACCTCCGCTGTGATAAATCGGTGATGCACACACCTTTGTCTACTTTTCCATGACTGAAAATGCCTGTAACTCCCTAGTGCAATTTGCTCCCAAAAATAAACATCATACCATCATAGATCTTTTACTCAACTCCAGTCAGAATAATTCATAATCTTACCACCACTAAAGTTCTGGTTCTGACAAGGTTAGATGCCTAAATCTTTCTCGGACTCGGGTCTCCTAAACAGCACATCGCTGGTTGCTCTGACATCACGCAACCCTTGAAAGGCTGTAAAAAGGCTAGATAAATCAGAGAATATTAAGCTGATATCAAAAGAACAGATTCATTTAGCTATAACTGTGTTCCCGCTCCCAGCAGGCGGATGCTCAAACTGAAGGGAAGAAGAATAATTCTATGATCTTGCATTTTTCTTCCAAACACGTCCACGCAGACGCTCAGCCTACGCTATCTCCCTTTTCACATCTACACACTTACACATCCAACATTCAGTACACACATCCTGTACTTTCCTTCCACCCTTCTCTGATACAACGCCCACACCCACTTACATAACACACACGGTTCCCGAACCTACTAATCGGGTGGTGGCAGCGTGCCGTAGGCCTGGAACCTTACATCTGTTCACTGCAGACGAATCTTTCCTTGAGCAAAGAACTCAATATTCTCGGTTGAGCCAGGACTCAACCAGACCACTTAAAGTCTACTGGGTCTACGCCCCGCTACAATATATATATATATATATAATATATATATATATATATATATATATACGTGTGCGTGTGCATGTGTGTGTGTCCGTGTGCGTGCGTGCGTGTGTCTGTGCGTGCGTGCATTCATGCATGTGTGCGTGTGTGCGTGCTTGTTTTTGCGTGCGTGTGCGTGTGTGGCAGTAAGATGCTGTGTCGGAGAGTTTTGGGCGGCGTTGAGGCGCTCACCGCGGGGAGTGGCGGTTGGAGGGCGTCACCGTCGCCCGGAGGCCCGCGAAGGCGACGTGGACTCCATCGGTGACGGAGATATTGAGATTTGCTGACGTCATATTCTCTAGTTTCTTGGGCGACGTGACCACGAGGATACCTGTAACAGACAAAGACGCGTGTTTTGTTAAAATATATATTTATCTGCAAGTTGTACTATACTGTGTATGTATCACGTGATAATTGGTACCTGTCAATGGGTCTATTTTGAAGATGTCGGCTCGGTCTCCCGAGTGGATGCCGTAGCGCAGGTACGTGCTTTCCCCGACGTCTGGGTCATGCGCAGTCAGCGCAGTCACGACATGGCCTGGCTGAGCCTCTGAGGACACGCGGCAGGAGTAACTGTCTTGCCGCCAGACGGGAGCATTGTCGTTGAAGTCCGTCACTACAATAGACAGAATCCCACATGCTTGAAGATTAACATGAATAGCAAATACGGAAAAGAAAATATGTATGAGTCACATCTGGTTATCAAAGCTGATATTAAACTATAATTGGAATTAAACCTCATGCCCTTTTCCAGCTAGTAAAGCTTATTGTTTTATCTTTACGCTATAACATGAATAAAAAGAAAGGTATATCACTGGCCGACATTATTTGGCCCTAACAATGGCCAGCAAAGTTACGAACTGTTACGGGAAGCGCTTTCAACCTTTTCTTATTACGTTACGCAACGGCCACAGTTCATTTAGGACAAAACAGAAAAAATCCGATGTAAAGTAGTTATCGCTATTATTCTAGGGCAGTGTTGTCCAAACACTTTCGCCTTTGCACCCTTTATTAGCTCACTGCTATACGCTCTAAGGCTAGGCGCATTTCACTACGGAAATCCCGCACACCCTACCTACAGATCCAAAAAAAATCTGAAATCCATGAAAAATCCTTAGGAAATCCGGAACTCTCAAGAATCTACAAATCTCGCATATTTTCCATTCGCAGCAATCTTTTACAAAATATTAGTAATAGTACTGGAGATGTCTTTAAAAATCGGTAAAAAGGTGTCATAAACTGAGGTTTTGCATGGCCTCGTGCAAAACCTTGTCACGATTTATATTTCTCTCTCTCTTTCTCTCTCTCTCTCTCTCTCTCTCTCTCTCTCTCTCTCTCTCTCTCTCTCTATATATATATATATATATATATATATATATATATATATATATATATATAATGTACAGTCTTAAAATAATGCAATTTTAAATCAATGTTAATGTGTGAATTTTAAACTTTCCAACCTTTTAAAAATTGAACAAGTGGATTTCTCAGAAATCGCTGACATGGTATCGTTGTTATGTGCCAAGATTCAAGCTATTTGATGGCCTATTGGGTGCACAGTTTTTTATCCTTTATATGGGAAAACCGGCTTTCATCAAAATGCAAAAAATGCCGGAAAAACGATTACATGATAAGATTTAAGCGCGGTCGGTAAAATATTATATCAATAATATAGCAGCATAGGATGTAATGAATGTAACTGCAAAGTCAAGTGAGTTCACTTTAATCCCCGCAATTTTTCAAAAACAGAATCGCTCCTTTTAAAATGTTCAAATTTCCTAGTAATTCTGGCTATTTCTGGAAGTGAATTAGCTTAAACTACTCAAATCGTTAATCCCGAGATTAATTCATCAGATTATGACGAATTTTTTTTTTCTTTTTTTGTATGAAGGGTTAAAGTAACCTTAAGCAAAGTCATGTTTTATGGTATAGTTCATTCCAAGTAGACCCTGTAAGGTAATAACTGATAACAGTTTTTGAAACATTTACATAATGTTTTTAACGCCTTTGAAAACTGAAAATCCCTCGAAATCTAGAACCTGGCAAATCTGTCTGGTAATCCGGATATCCCGATAAAAAAAAGGGTTTTCGGAAATGCCGGAAATCTAATATGCTATTTTGGGTAGTGAAATGCCCCTCGCTCCAAGATTCACCAAAGCAACAGAACATAATCCACTGAAATCTACATATAATGTAGGTTTAATTAGGTACGGAGTCGACAGTGCCAATATAGATAGAGAAATAAGCAAGTTACCATGAAGGCTTATCACCTGGTCTGCGATCTCAACAGAACCCTGATTCTGAACGATACTTGTCAAGATGGCAATTCAAACAGTCGGTCCGCAAGAGACAAGAGCGCCCCATCTGATTATCAGTCTTATTATTTAACCATGTGAAGAGGGAATTGAAAACATCTATAAAGAAAAAAAATAGCATCAACAAAGTAAAAACAAAGCAAGTAAATGTATGGTGCAAACATGCTCAAGCTGCTGACCTATATTGGCAGTAATATATCTCATATCATGTACTCAGATATAAATGTTTAATAAAAAAAAAAAAAAAAAAAACTGGTATAGGCATATATATGCAGTGATATGTAGTCAGTTAATTATTGCAACAGCTGATTGATATTTAACTTAAAAACTAGACTATCGGCCCCTTTTCTTATACGGACAACATAACGCATGGAGTGGCTGTAACGCCCACCGCCATGGGATGGAATCGCTGCTGCCGCCCGAGGGGAACTGTGAGGCCCAATTACACCCCGTGTCCTCTGCCCTCTGATATGGACATGCAGGAATGAAATGGATGGACACCGCTGCATTGTATCGCCTCAAGGCAACGAGAAATGATGATACGATCCTTGGATATGCACTTATAGCTAAGAAAGAAATGTATTTTTCGCATACCAGTGTTCCTTGCCAATCTAAAATATGTTAAGGCAATAAAAGTGCACTAAATATCACTGATCTCTATATATGATCATTTTATTTTAGTTAATTCTTCTATACATCAAGATATTACATCCTAATCGTTTTTATGGAAACTAAAAGAAATATCTAAAAAAAAATACTATTTTGTTCGTCTACGAATGATTTTTCTCGTTTTCTCACACAAATCGAAAACTCATTTAAGGCATGATTTTTAAATTTTCAATAAATTTATGCCCCAATCGGGCAGGAAATCAAAAGTAGCTTTATGAAACTTTTCTTCTATGACGAATAGCACGATGCTAACGAATTCCCAAGAGTTTAAACAAACGAAGAAAAAAAAAAATAATAAATGAAGTCTAATATTCCCAAGATAATTTTTTAAAACTTTTTCCTCGTACTTCCAGCGCTGACCAAAATTCTTTAAACATTCCAAGACTTAAGACACACAAAAACTACAAAAAAACTGTGCATACTATCGACGGAATACATTGAAATGATTTTTTTTTTTAAGAAACATCGAGTCAAAGTTCCATCAAGGACAACCTTACAAAAAATAAAATAAAGTTTAAAGGGTATACGCCACTTTTTAAAAGCATAAAATGATAAACAATGAATATCGCCTAAAGAGCCCCAGAGTAGCACACTTCAACCAGCAAAAAACAGACGATATGGACGTTCGTTTTTCACGCTTAAAAATATTCAATTACTCTTTTTACCGCCATCATTAATAATAGCTAGAAATACTTATACTTCATTCCCTCTATGTCGATTGGATTTTACCAGCACAAAAACAACCGGATCATGAAATATCAG